TTAACTTTTTAGGTGGATCATACCTTTTTGTTTTGTAATTGTAATGACAAGCAGTGTTTAAATGGAAGGGGCTAAGACTATAATAGGGGTTGCTAAAGCACCATCACAACATTCAAACTTTTAGTATTGATTCATTTGTTGTCCAACCTAAACGAACCTAACCCGCTAAGTTTCACTAGTTTCGCTCTGTGTGAGTTAGCCGTGCCCTGACTTATATCAGCCCAGAGGATGTTTCAGGATTCGATCTGTGAGTTAGCATTGCCCTGACTTAGATCAGCCCAGAGGTTGTTTTATGGCCCAATCTGTAACTTAGCTGTGCCCTGACGTAGTTTACCCCAGAGGTTCTTTCAGAGTTTGATAACAATCAAAATTTGAAGGCCCTTTTGCACCCTGCTTCTGCAGCCTTTGCTTTACTCCTCTGGCTTGATTTCTGTTTTTTTGTTTTGTTTTTCTGCTGTACTCACTTCAGCTCTTGTTTAGAATTATATGAGTTTTTTTTACAGCCAAAGCAGCTGTCATACCTGGCAGATTTGTCCACCAAGACAAAGATGCTTAAATATCAAGAACAGCAACTCTTTTCTGTCCTCTTCACTAAACATGGGATAAAAGTCTGATTCCTCTAGCAGCAAAGTCTGTTAAAAGATGAAATATTCAATGAAGTATAGTCAAGAAAGAATAATCTGCAATTACAATGGGTTGGGGTCATGAGTTACATACCTTCCTAAGCTCATCTGAAATGAGAAAGTCTTCATAATCCTCATCAATACATTTCTTGATGTTACCATTTTCCCTGACAACACCTGTCCATAGGAGATAATATAAACTTTAAGGTCAACACACACTAAATGAGGATTTATTAGGAGACATGATGCATAAGAACAAGAAGCCAAGTAGGTTTTAACAACAAACACATCATTTACTGTGTTTGGTATTTTGAACTCTGACCATCAAGATCTTAAAATAAGAGATAGACATTTTGACTAGGGGGGTTGGGTGGGGATTTAAAGTAGGTGGTTAATGAGTGAATGGAGGGAGTGCATTTAAAGAGCTGAATTACTGGGGAGGCGCTATGAAGCTAATATTCCATTGCTTGCTGTAATAAGAGCAAAATTATTTTTTGCAATTAAATTAGGCCTTTTGCAATAACATTGTGCTTACCTTTCTCGTACAGTCTATCAAAGAAATCCATGGAAGTTATCGTACATGGTATATGCTCTGCATGTGCCTTAACTGCTTTAAGACCTGAAAATGTATGTATATATCAATCCGTCCTGGGTGCCTGTCACCTCTTGCCATTGACTATTTACATGTAAAATGTTATTTAATAGAGGGAAGGGAGAGATGATTTGTTGAGAATAGTGGAGAGAAATCCATGACATGAGAAATCCTGGATAGGTATCTGTTATACCAGCTATTGACACAGAGAACCCTTACAGCCATTCTCAATCACATACGCCACTCTAGAGATTGTTTTTGTTGGGCAATCAAGGCATTTCCATGACATTCTATAGGCACGTGCCCTTATAGCTTTGTGTTTTTTGACAATGTGATGGAAATGCCTTGTGATCCACCAAAACCTTCTTCATCTCGAAAGAAACAATAGCTAGAGGGCACATGTGATTGAGAATAGCTGTACGTATTCTGTTGAAGTGATCAAGCATCTGTAAGCAACTAATAAACAATAAGTCCTTGCCTACCTAATGGTCCTGGTGTGTTTGAAGATGAAAATATCTAAGAATAAGACAGCAGAAAAAGTCAAAAGGAATGGAAAAGAAAGTAAGAGAATGGAATGGGAAAAAGAATAAAATGAAAGAAAGAAAACTGGAATACAGGGTTTTTCTTCAATGGAAAATCCCAGTGCAGATAAATTTGGAGGCCAAAACAAAAAATTTAGCTTCTTAGGAGACTTAGAATGTTTTATTTATTTTTTCCTCATTGAGCTATTGGGAATATGCTGCAAGCAAGTCTATCCAGCTGAGCGGTGAATGTAGCACACAAAGCATGGGTGGACAAAATGGCTGGCCCTAAGCAATTTGGGAGCTTGAAAGAAGGAAGCAAACATGGCTTTTAATGAAATTGTCTTCACGCTTTCTTTCCATATTTCTGCTTCTTGTAGGCACGTATATTATATTTTAGTGAAAAGAAAACATAAAAATATGTAAACGTTGGGTCAAAGTAGGCTGGGAATGAGGGCTGGCAACAAAACAGCTAAAGGCGCTGTGATTGGTTGAAAACAAAATTCACTTCTCAGCTGGTGTGTTGTTCTTTTTCGAAACATGTATTTAAAAAAAAGGAAAAAAAGAAAAAACAGCTTAGTGGTCACCTGTAGGGATGACGTCACATTGGGATCCTCAAAGAAATCCTAAAATAAGAATAAAAATAATAACAATAATCTAAAAATACAATATTTAATTAAAAATAAGCAAAATTACTAGTACTTTTTCAACAAAAAAATGTGATAGAGTTCGATCGTTTTAAAAACAAAATAAACGAAACGTGAGCACGAAATTCAGCAATAAACTAAAGCTAACCTGTATAAATTTATCTTTTTGGTAAAGTTGGAAATATTTGTCGTAGGTGTACATCTGGACTACCGTTCTGTTTATCATTCCCCTTGGAAACCAAAAGTACAGTAGCAATCTATATTAACTACTCTTTTTAACCTTTCATTAACACAAAAAACTAAAAATATACAGCAGTTCACAAGGAAAACGCATAGTTTACCATTTCATGAGTGAATCCCTGACGTCTGAAGACTCAAAAGCAAGGAATTTCTTTGTGGGAACGTGTTGAAAACCGAACTTATTTTGCTTCTCTTCGGCCGCCATTTTGGTTCTCTGAACTACACAGGGAACCCACTTCAGATAAAGAAGAACCGGGAAAGAAATCCCTTTTAATAAAAGATTAATTAAAAGACTTCGGGTCGATGTCCTTCGGGTCTAGGTTTATTAAGTTCTCTTGTTTTTTCTCTCTTGTAGTTTTCTTCTTGGAAATATTACAAAGAAATATCAAAGAAAATCAACACAACGTTTGCCAAGTCTTCAAAGACGGGTTACCTGTGTGTTTGTGTACCATATCATTCATCTGCGTGTAACGCAAACAAACAAACAAACAAAACAACGACAACAAAAACAACTAAAGCCCCGTTTACACTAGCGATTTTTGCGGCGATTTTGTTGCGATTTTGTTGCGATTTTGTTGCGATTTTGTCCACAATAAATAATGGTAAAGAATTTACTCGTAAATTTTTTTTCAGGATACCAAGGTTTTCCTAGACGAATGTCTCTTTTGAAGGATGAGACAAAAGATTTTATATTTCCGAAAATTGCCACGAAAATCGCAGCAAAAATCGCCAGTGTAAACGGGGCTTAAAACAAACAAAAAAGAAAATGACACCAAAAGTGCGCGCGGGAGTATGAAAAAAAAATTCCGAAACTATTGTGGTGCAATTATGAAATGCGGTCTGATATAACTCAAGTCCACTCGATTTGTTTTTTAACAAAAACGATTAAAACTTCTCATTTTTAGTGATCAAAACAACCAACGGAAAGAGCGCGCGCTCGTTGACGTCAGCTTCATCTGTCTGTCCTCTTATTGATGATAAAAAATAACCAATCAGCGCGCGAGAAATTTGTAAGTGTAAAAAACTGTCTCGACAAGATGTTAAGTACTGTCGCACCTACGTTGAAAAAGAAACTAATCCTCAATAGTGTAAATACTTGAAAAAATGTAAAACACTAATAGGAATATAAAATATTAACAGGACTCATATGTCGCCTAAAACACCCTTTCAGCTTGGGTGTGATGTGTTTTCCCATTTAGGAACACTTGTCATTCCATTCTTAGTACGGTTGTATCCATATTTATGCGTTTTCCCGTGCGCAAGGATTAAACAAAGAAATAATATTCTAGGGAATGACTGACAATGTCTAACATGTCATTCCATTTACAATAACATTCTTAGTACGGTTATATCCATATTTATGTGTTTTCTCGTGCGCTAGTGTTAAACAAAGAAATAATATTCTAGGGAATGTCTAACATGGGAAAACATTATGCCCAAGCGAAATGGGTTTTCTTCAGTTATTTTCTGAAGCGGCTGGATAGCGTATAAATTTTGTCCAAGATATAGTTTCAAGAGGACATTTGATCATTTTTTGGTACAAATTGCATAATTTTATCATGTTTGTATTAGGTATTTTTTATTAGAGCATCTGCTCATTTATTGGTACAAATTCTGCTCATTTATTGGTACAAATTGCATAATTATATTATTTTTGTATGCGGTATTTTTTATTGGGACTTTAATGAGAAAAACTCTTTGCTCAGAGCAGAAGAATTAGTAAAAAACACAAGAAGATCTAAGTAGCCATAATGAAGACTGTGAGAGATAGATAGCATGATAATGGTAACCACTTAACGTCATTATCATTATCGGGCATCGCCTTCACCACCACCATCATCAATAACATCATGATCTGCAACATCTTCAACAACAGCAACATCAAT